CAAAATATAAGGTCCTCGATTTGTATTTGATAATTCTAGACCTGTCTGTCTGGGTACCTCGTTTCTTTCCTTCTAATAGCCTGACGCTAAATTACCATTTTGACTCATGCGACTTATTGCACCTTTTTTAAGCAGTGGCGCCTGGTGTAAAAAACTGTGACCGCAGTTTTGTAATTACCAGGTTTTGGATTCACTTCTTCCTAGTGTTCATTGCTTGTTCTCCTGCTAATATTCTCGCTAACACAGCAGTACTTAATTCAACTGTTTTCCTAACGCGCTACTTTTAGCAAAGAGAAATTGCAGCGGATATCTATCTAGAAATGGTTATTAATCCGGTGTTATAATAGTTTTCAAAGTTGCCCTGTAAAGTCATGGTTAGGAAAGTCAGGACTGTTTTGATAAATATATGCTATACACATCCAGAAAGGCTTTTCCTGCCAATTTCTTTGGTTATTTTTTGCAGTTGGTCAGTTGGTGTTCAGATAAGACGTTGAAATTATAAGAGTTGTTTTAAACTGACCACAAAATGGTCGGAAAAAATGGAAACTGTGAATAAAAGGCTTTTGCAGAAGCTGAGCTCAAACCACCTAGATTTGAAGGATTATGGTTTTGGTCACTGTCTGTCGCGCCACTCCCGACTAACAAAATAGTGTTGTAAAAATGCACAAGAGTTAAAACTACAGTAGCGCAAGAACGGGATACCTAGACAAGTTTGGAGTTATTGCAAATGAATCGAGCGCAGTTGAGGCCGCCAGTTACGGAAGAAAAAGTAGATTACCAATTAAAAAAAAAGCGAGTTCGGGGATGTGTTCGCTTCACTTCGTCCGCAATGTAAGCCATTTTACTGCTGCTTGTTCAAGGTTGTCACTGTGCACGACGTGGTCGACTTCACCTGTAAATTAACAAGCCGCTTTAACTTTGTCGATTGTTCTGCTTGACCTCGTTAGTGATGGATTATTGGCTTATAACCTTAGCTGTGGTCTTATTGCTTGTTATATTATCATTCTACACGTTAAAAGTGTAAGTTTGTCGTTCTGGTTTTTTTAATAATTATACACCACGACCGAACTTTGGTATCTGGTGGTTGAATAGGTGATTTTTAGAGGGTCATTCTTTCATAGTCAGTCAGTCATGACTGTTTCACGTTGTATTGTAGTTGGTCGTGGTTCATGCCGTGGACGGTGAGAGATAGGAAGTATTTGTTGAAAAAACGTTACCAGTACAGGATTGATGGCGGTTCAAAATTCGATTTTCCAAACCTCTTACAAGTTTCTGGAAACTCGGTTTCTTTTACGGAACCATCGTTGTACCTTTCCGTTGTCATCCCGGCCATGAATGAAGAAGTATATTCTATATTTTTCTAAGCCAATTTTGGTTTAAAAAACTGCTTTCAAATTTTCTTTAATTTTTGTCATATTTTGTTTTTTTTCTTCAGCTTAGTTTAGTGAAGTTATTTCTAAACTGATTAAGTTTTTATCAAATTTTTTCTCTTTATGATTTTCAGAGACGGCTGCCGAAGATGCTGGAAGAGTGTCTTTCGTACTTATCAGAACGCGAGAAAGAAGATGCGGGATTTACATACGAGGTATACCTGATACTAACTTACGTTGGGAATTTTGAGAGAATCTTAGAATTTTTCATCATGAAATATATTACCAATTCCATTCCAGGTAGTTGTAGTGGACGATGGCAGTGTAGACGGTACTTCAGCAGTAGCCCTGAATTGTGCTAAGCAACAGAACTCAGATCGTGTAAGAGTATTAAAACTGGAGAAGAACTTGGGCAAAGTTAGGTTTTGCCTATTTTTAACCCTAGTTGGTTAAAGTGAATTCTCCTTTCTTTGCTCATTACAATGTTGAGTTTTGATTGAATTTACTGAATTTAAAACATTTGGGTAGTCATGGCGATTTTTTTTTTTTTTTTTTTTTTTTTGAGATCTGGTGTAGCTAAATGCAAACAAAAAAGCTTTTTATTTATTTATTTTTTTTATTTTTTAGGAGGAGCAGTTAGAAATGGAGTTTTGTGTGCTCGTGGGAAACTTATTCTTTTTGTTGATGCTGATGGTGCAACTCGTTTTTGTGATTACGGAAAAGTTGAGGAAGAGCTTATTCGTTTGACAACTGCAGATGGTAGCCTACCAGGAGATATTAAAGCATTCGATTGGACGTTTCCAGCAGTTGCTGTTGGCTCAAGGTAACCTACTTTTTCTTGTTTGCAAATATAGCTTTCTGATGTTTTTAAACGAAATGCTTCAGAGCTCACTTGGAAAAGGAAAGCATTGCAAAGCGATCATGGATCCGAACTGTATTAATGATTGGTTTTCACTGCTTGGTGTGGCTTTTTGCAGTCAGGTCTGTTCGGGACACACAGTGTGGTTTCAAACTGTTCACCCGATCAGCAGCTGCGTCGGTTTGTTATTAATCTGATATTGCTGTGAAATATTTTTTTTTTTAAATTAGGTTTTATTTTCGGGTACACTGTTGGGTTTAGAGGTCAAGACAGGCTAGATTCTTAGGTTTTATTTTTATTATTTTTATTTTTTTTGCACCTGCTACAAATCAATATTTTCTGTTTTTGCACGCACCTTTTCTGCTTTTTGTTAAATTGTTTTCTTGATGAGAGTCTGCTATGTTTATTAAGAAAGTGATATGCAGAATCATAAACGAAAGTGTGGGTTTAAATTCATCCTCTTGGAACAGTGCTAGCGCATTGAAATGAGAGAGAAAAGCATTGATATTTTGAAGTAATATCGGGGTTAAATTTGGTAGGATATTATTTAATATGTTTGATTTTAGTTCCGCAGTTTAAGTCTTCTCTAGCTTAAATTATTATTAACAGTAGGTTTTGATGAAGGGGAGCGTTTTTGCTGGCTGTATTCATGTAAAGTTTTGGAAAAGCTGTGTTTTTCCCATTTTCTTATAGATTTTGGTTAGACGTGGAATGATCGTTTTTGTAAGACTTGTTTGGTTTAATCTTTCCGTTTCAGTTATTCTCGTTAATTCATGTGGAACGCTGGGCTTTTGATGCAGAACTTCTGTTCCTTGCCGAACGTTTTAAGTATCATATTGCTGAAGTGCCTGTAAACTGGCATGAAGTTGATGGGTCAAAAATAATTCCTGTTTTCTCATGGTTACAAATGGGTCGTGATCTTGTCCTTATCTGGTTCCAATATTTCACTGGTACTTGGAAGGACAGCCTTTAAATATTTTGTTTTTGCATCTTACGACTTTAGTTTTGTTGAAAGCGTTGGAGTCTTTTGTTTTGTTTCTTTCACTGTCAGCCCTTAAGATATTACAGGAGAAGTTTTTAAAAAAGTCAGATATTAATTGCTGACGGTTAAGAAAGTGAAAAGGGTTGGACTTGTGAACTTGCTTTAGTATTTTTTCGGGGCTGTTGTCTTAATACATTTGTTGAGCAATTTTTGAGTTGTAATCACGTCTACGTCTGGAATCCTGAATTAGGAGTTCTTTTTGATCAGCTGTAAGCATTATTGCTGAGATACAGATTAGCAGCTTATTTTTTGAAACGGCGATTTTATAGTTAGCCGGCATAATTCTCTTCTTTTTTTTTTTTTTTTTTTTTTTTTTTTTTT